CACTGCGGAACCCATGCGTAGCGGACAGGTATTGGGGCTCTAGGTAGGTCTTCACCAGGCCGGTCGTAGTTCCCCATATCAACGCTCTTCTCAAGATGTCGGTAAGATAGTGATCCTCATTAACTACGAGTCGGTCCCGAATCGAAGCGCTCCATTGTAAGAAGGTATGTTCTACCCCATCGCTGAGAGGAAGGATTTTCTCAGAGATGGTTGATTTCTTATAGCGATTCGGAGGGTCCTCGGTGTGCATTCGTGATGACCCTGGAGTCGAGGGAGAATGAGTGTTCCTAAGAGGCGGCAATTGAACCGTCTTGGGTGTGTTTCGTGTACGAGGCGTTCGTTGCTCCGTAACTTCGACTGTGGGTATGGGGGCGTCCACCGGCGGTGTCGACGGGATTCTGGTCTGGGATGCCGACAGGATAACTAGTAGATCCTTGACCTCCTGTATCTGTGCTTCGAGGTGGGCCATTCGACTCGGGATGTCTTCGGATGGCACAGACGTCGTAGCTGCAGCGGTGGTTTGTCTGGTAGTCATTCTGGGCAGTTGACCGTCGTTGTCTTGGGGTATGTTTGATGTCGGCTTTTTCGACATATTTGCCTCGGATGTGTATCAGTACCGATACGAAAGAGCTTGACTTCCGGTAGCTCGTAGCTATCAACGCTCTTGTCCACAATTTCCTCTGTGCTATGAGGGGGTTCTTAAGGATCTCGTATCCTATTTGGCGCCAACGCGTCGGCGACTTTACCAGCTTGTTCTGAAGAATCAAACCCTGATCCACTGGCTGTCCGTGAGATCTCTGGAATCACGGCTATTTGAAGTCGTCAGGTCTCTACTCCGAAACATCACCGAGTCGCAGTCGATGGTGCAACGGTAGTTCTCCTGAGTCGTTCCGTTGTGGATATTATTTAAGTACGGCCGTCCCCGGCAGGCGTGATCTTTTTTGTATAATGTAAGGACACAGGGAATACGGCTCTCCGTAGGTGCATATGGGAGTGCAAGTTGGAGGTGATGCTGTATTCTATCCTATAGGTCTACTACGAAGGATACAAAAAAGATGAAGGGGGAACCCCGTTGAGTCTGTTTCCTTAACTCCCGAAACGGGCCCGACTCGGTTATCCCAACCCTAGCCCTGAACCTTCCACCGCAACAGGTCTACATCGGCCCTGAACCCTATACACTTACCGTCCCCCACTATAGTGTAACTCGCTATATGATCCTCTACTGGTTCGAAACCCCACCGAGTCGGATTCCATGTTTGTAGTGACCGTAACAGTTCTGAGACAGGTTCTTCGAGTATCTAGGTACGGAGGCATCCTTACACTACTACATCTGTTTATGCTACATACATCACGGCATATCATTTGGACACTCATTGAACAAGTTATTAAGAAAATCTCCTCCTTAAGGGGGTGGGCCAATACTACCACATGGCATATCTCTACCAACTAGAGGCCTAGGAACATGAACGATAGCTCTAGAAGCTTCTACAACCCTCTATGATTCATTACACGTCATCGCTCCTTAGTTACCCACAAGATTGGTTAAGTTATGACATAATTTGTCTATAGGTACTCTGACCTTGGATGTAATGGTGGGTGCACCAGATGTGAGAATCTAGCCACCCAAGGAAGGGATGATTTTACTAAGACAACACACTGTCTTAGGAAACAGAGCCAAAGGGTTGTAGCTTAGACTATTCCACAACGCAGCAATCAGGTGTGTGATGTAGTGAAGTGGTTCAGACAAGTTGCAACAAATGTTGAGTCTGGGAACTCAGGGGTAAGTCAAGAGGTTAACACCTCACTGACTTTTCAGAAACAAGGAGTAACAAGATGAATGCTTGGAAGCTTGTAAATGACGTGGAAGTATGTGATAGTCGATTTACTGTATTGCCTGCTTGCCCTTTCTTAAGGAAAGGGCAATCCTATTTATGCCAAAGGAGTGTAGTTCTCTCATTTTCCATGCCTTTCCATGACTAACCAGGCTTGGTAAATGTATTAGAAATCAAGTGCGACCCACAACTAGCTTGCTAATTATGTAGTGAACGTAAGAGAATCCCATAGAACCATCTCTTGGGTTCCTAGCTTATAGGAAGTGAAAAGGAGGTTCAAGGTCAGAGTACCTATAGATAAATTATGTCATAACTTAACCAATCTTGTGGGTAACTAAGGAGCGATGACGTGTAATGAATCATAGAGGGTTGTAGAACTTCTAGAGCTATCGTTCATGTTCCTAGGCCTCTAGTTGGTAGAGATATGCCATGTGGTAGTATTGGCCCACCCCCTTAAGGAGGAGATTTTCTTAATAACTTGTTCAATGAGTGTCCAAATGATATGCCGTGATGTATGTAGCATAAACAGATGTAGTAGAAGAGTTTGCAGCAATCGTTGAGTAGTATTGCTTCTGTTGTTGGTGTGATAAGCCAAGATATGTATGGTGACTTGTAGGTTTGAGGAGGAGATTTCTAAGTTTGCTCTTGAGTTTGATAACTGAGTGCAACGAATGTCAGTATGACATTGGACCTCCTTTTCACTTCCTATAGGCTAGGAACCCAAGAGATGGTTCTATGGGATTCTCTTACGTTCACTACATGATTAGCAAGGCTAGTTGTGGGTCGCACTTGATTTCTAATACATTTACCAAGCCTGGTTAGTCATGGAAAGTCATGGAAAATGAGAGAACTACACTCCTTTGGCATAAATAGGATTGCCCTTTCCTTAAGAAAGGGCAAGCAGGCAATACAGTAAATCGACTATCACATACTTCCACGTCTTTTACAAGCTTCCAAGCATTCATCAGTTCAATTATATTTCAATGACGATAACTAATTGTACATACCTCTGTAATATATATAGGAAGTATTACCTCCTCCCCTGGTGCTACTCCAACACGAAAGCCAGTTTCGTCAAAGTTATAGACGTTTTGCAGCTGGATATCATGTTGGATACACCATGACAAATATACTGAAAACCAGTCCTCTACCGCTGAAATATCATGAGTTGTAACTTGAACTTGAGCAATCGCTTTCATTTTAACGACTCGAAAAAGGTTAGAATGGCTTTTTATAAAGCCCTGAAACCAGCGCCATGAAGGCGCTGGTTTCGGTGGTATTTCTGCTGCCCGCAAGTGGCCAATTGCTGCAAAAACCATTGCTCTTGATGCCCCGTAACCTGCATGATACGAATCTTCGACATATTTGTATATTGCCTTAATTTGTACCTCCGAGAGTATCTTATTTTGTCCTCCGCATTTAGAAATAGGAGGCGATATTGGGGCTTTAGCGGCTTTCAACTTCGCTCGTCGAGTATAGGAATTAAGCGTCTTCGTATTAACATTATAAATTCGAGCGGCGGTGATTGGCTTTTCGGAAGGGTTCTTGCAGAGGAATTCGAGGGCTTGGTCCATTATACAGAGCAAAATTATCGCAGGTGCATAGTTGAGAGTGGGAAACGTATATATTTGGGTGTAAATCTCTGACTCGGCTATGACGGGATGCAATTTCGCTTTCCGGATGCACTTCGCTTTCGCCGACCACCTGTTAAGGTGGTCAGTGCGAACACCCGACGATTATATAAACCTCATACTTTAAGTGACAATAAGCGACAAAAGTAGCATTAGCACTCGAGATTAGACTCTTGAACACGTTACACAACAATAGCTATAGGGGGTCATCATAATACCTTCCTACACGGAGTCTAGAAAGCTAAGGGGGTGTGTTATAATATAGCCGACTATAAGAACTAATCGTCGTGACCAAACTTTTCGCTTCGCTCAAGGTTGGAGTAAGCAACATGCGCCACTTCACATGAGAGGAAGCAAGTTGCGCCAACTCACAACTTGCATATGTTCACCGCTACTCTGTAACAAAACCTTTACCATAGCCACACGTAGTATTTTATATAGTAATTTAATCCAATTTATTTAATGGAAGAGACTCCACTATCAAATGCCTGTAAATGGCTAGCAGAGAACCCCTCAGAATCTGCGACTACTGCCAGTCGACTTTTCAAGGTCGCGCGATCGTCAATACGGTCGAGTATTGCCCGAGCAGCTCGACGGCAGCAGCAAGCTCAGCAACAGCAGCTACCCCAACACGGGGGTAAGAATAAGCTGCTATCTACTACACAAATTGAGGCTCTTAAGAAATGGATACTTGAGCAGTATTACCTAGGGCTTGGAGCTACTAGGAATATGATATTTGCCGCAGTCTGCAAACTCCGAAGCCCACAGCCCCCGCCATCACAGAGTTGGCTTACAAAATTTATTAAAAATGAGCTTCAAGAATGCCACTTTATTACTACAAAGCCAATTGCGCAGCAGCGTACGAAGGCTCAAGACGAGCCTACTGTTACTGCTTGGTTTCGCGACTACCTTGAGTTTGTACTACAGCGTAGTATACAGCCAGAGTCAATTTGGAATATGGATGAAACTGGCTTCCGGGTAGGAATCCCAGGTGGTGAGCGGGTAATTGTACTGCTAGTAGCAAAAGAGCTCTACACCCCAAGCCCTGAAAATCGTACATCTATTACTATAGAGTGGGAGGACCCAATTCCTGACCCGGAAGCCTCTGAAAGTGAGGGCGAGGAGGAGTATGAGATTGCGGGCGAGTGTGGGAGCGAGCGTGGGAGTGAGGATGGGAGCGAGCGTGGGAGTCAAAGTGATAATTCAATAGAGTAGGCAGATTATGTACCTTTACATACAAATTACTATGGGCTAGTACTTACTCTCAAAATCGTGAGTTGGCGCAACTTGCTTCCTCTCGCGTGAAGTGGCGCATGTTGCTTACTCCAACCTTGAGTGAAGCGAAAAGTTTGGTCACGACGATTACGGATTGATTCGCTTTTGCTAGTTCAACACCTGCCACTAGAAACACCCGATGCAGTTTAGTCTCAATTGATATGATCTTACCATTCTAGGACTAGCTAGGTACCCTCGTACTACCTTATCGTTATCCAGCATCCCTGCAGGGACTCCGCATGATTCATCCCCATCATCAGCTCCCCGTCAAACTTCTACACAATTCAAACAAAAATGTTGCAATAGATACCCCACATTCCCTCTTATTTTCTCATAATAGCCAATTTCTTCATTTATTTCTCTTTATATATATACATGGCCTTGACATTATAACCACACCCCACAATGAACGAACCATCAAACCCCGAACTCGAGTCCTTCCGCCAGCAGTGGCGCGCCGAGGTATTCGCGAAATCGAAACCCGGCGACTCGAGCCCCTCCAAGAAATCGACCCAGCCTCCCTCGAAACCGACTGCGCGCAGGCCATCAGTTGTCCCACAGGCTCCTCCCAGGCCATCCGCGGACGCTGAAAGCGACAACGAGCCCTCCGACGAGGATGCCGACCTGGTATCTCCCGCGCCCCTCCACCCTTCCAGCTTCGAGGTTTCCTCAGCGAGGTCGGCAGTCGAGAAAGATGTCGAGAAGTTCAGTGGCACCGCGACCAAAGAGCCCGAGTCGGCATTGGAACACTACGAAAAGGCCGCCGAGCGAGAATTACAAGGCAATCTCGGGGACAGCTTGACGCACTATCGCAAGGCCTTCAGGGTATGCATCCTATTCCCGCGCATATAGTAGAGATACTGACAACCCCCACAGATAGACGACCGCGTCGACCTCAAATACAAAAATAAACACTTCCCCCCCTCTGCCGGCCCCAAACCCACCACCACCAGCACCCCCTCCTCCGCCACCCCCGCCACCCCCGCAACCCCCGCAACTCAACCCACCTCAATCGCCCTCTCCACCCCCGACCTCCTAACCTCCTTTTCCTCCCTCCTTATCACCCCCGCCCCTCCCCCCATCGAAGGTGCCCCCGCCCCCCCCTGCCCAATCGCCACCCTCCCCGAAGAAATCCTAACCCACATCCTCACCGACCTGGCGCTCCTCGACCCGGCGTCCTTCCTTCGCACCGCACAAACCTGCAAGCGTCTCGCCTACCTCATCGCCACCGAGGATCAGATCTACAAACGCATTTGCCAGGGCCACGAAGTCGGGTTCGGGGGTATGCATTACAGCTGGCAGTTAGAAGTTAGCGTCGCCCCCCTCCCCGTCGCACTCGGCACCCTCGACGGCCCCCCCGCCGACGAAGCCAGCGCGGCTCCACGGGCCCCGCTCTTACTAAACACCCTCTACCCCTCCTATGCAACCATGTTCCGCCACCGCCCCCGAATCCGCTTCGATGGCCTCTACATCAGCACCGTGAACTATATGCGCGCTGGCGCCGCAGCCGCCACGCAGTCAACATGGGACTCCCCCGTCCACATCGTGACGTACTACCGCTACCTCCGTTTCTTCCGCTCTGGGGCTGTGATTTCGCTTCTCGGGACGCACGAGCCAAGTGAAGTCGTGCATGCCCTTCTCACCGGCTTGCTGGAGGGTAAGCGCGCGCCGAAAGGTAGCCCAGTTGCCGACGCGCGGAGGGGGCGGTGGAGGCTTGGCGGTGGGGGTGAAGGGGGGAGGAGAAAGGGGGGAGTGATGAGGCGGCCCTGACGATCGAGACGGAGGGGTGTGATGAGAGGTATATTTATAGGATGGCGCTGAGGGTGAAGGGGCAGGAGAGGGGGAGGGCGAGGCTGGGGTGGGAGGGGTTTTGGAATTGGAATCGGTTGACGGATGATTGGGCGGAGTTTGGGTTGAGGAATGATAAGCCGTTTGTGTTTAGTAAGGTGCATTCTTATGGGGTGGGGGTGTAAATGATGGCGGGGGCGGGGGGAGTTGGATAGATGATAGATGGAACAGGTGAGATTATGATAGATATTAACGACGTATATGATGCACAGTTACTCGATATTTACTCAACGCTAACTAGTTCGTTTACGTTATTCTAGCTTCATCTCTCCCGCTTCGTGTCTGTGTATGCTCATGGCTTTGATGGGTGATCATTATCGCGAATGGTTACGTCGGCCGTTGATATCCCGAGCCGTTTAAGGTGCAGGTAGTTAAAGGCTATAAGTGAGTTCCGCACGGCCGAATCCACTTTCTTGCACCGCGACTTTGCGGGGTTAACTTTCGCTGTTGTATATTTGCAAATCGCATACGAAAGGACAAGCCTCAAATCCACACCTCTAAACCCCACAGACCAAAAATCAAGCCTCCGGAGCACACACCTCAAAAACCACCGCCTGCCTCCTCCCCTCCCCAAAAGTCGGCAACACAACCCCCTCCCCTCTCCCCACCTCCCTAAACCCGCACTTAACCAACACTCTCATGCTCTCATAAGTCTCCGTATCCGTCATCGCCGTCATCGTGCGGATCGTAGGACGCAATTCCCCAAAACCGCCTTACGAACGCGCCCACAGACTCGGTAGCGTAGCCTTGGCCCCAGAAGGAGGGGTGGAAGGTGTACCCTAGCTCGACGATGGGGGAGAGGCGGAAGACGCCTACGATGCCGATCATTTGGGTGGTTGGGGGGGAGGGGGTGGTGGAGGTGGTGCGGAGGAAGACGGCGAAGTTTTCTCCATCGGGGACTAGAAGACCTTTCATCTGCTCTCTGCTCTCTTCGATTGTCTTGCGGCATCCGCGTGAGCTGGGGGGGATCAGCTGGATTGTGTTTGGGTGGTGTCTGTCTTGTTCTATGCCGTGTATACTAACCTCCATCGGGTGGCCTCTGGAAGTGACCAGATGGCGTGGAAGTCGTCTAGGTTATCCTCTGTGAGTCGCGTGAGCCGGAGATGGGGTGTTTCTATTTGATCCATTTGATAAGGAAGATTGAATCCTAGCTATGTGGGGGTTAAGATGGAGATCTTTGGGTAAAGCCTCACAGAGGCGCTTTAGGCAACATGAGGGTAAGAGTCAGATTAGTAGTGCTTATAAATGTGTGGAGGTTCGTATTCAGAGCCGCGTCCTTCCTCGCTAAGTTTTGGCGACATAGCGCGAGGGCGCTTAATTATCGTCGGACTCTCAATGTGAGAATTCTAATTTTTAGAGGCTGGTTCCAGCAACAATTGCGGTTGCCATCTAGTTTTATACAGCATGCTTAATTGGAGTGGCAAACAGTTTGCTTCTCGAACCTTCTCACGCACTCCCTCCCGTCCCTTCTTACGACGACTTTCAGCCCCATCCCTGGGATGACTGAAATTAGACCAGCCATTCCCGCGGTGAGGGCTAGAGATATTTCAGTAATTCACGAAGTTATTCGGAGTTGCGGGGCATCCTCCCGCGACATCCCTGCCTCTCCTGCATATTATCTCATTTCTCCGCTCCGTCTTGCGTCATTAGAGCGATTCAACAGTGTTTTACGGAGGTGGCTTTCAAAAGTTTTGTCCTACACTAAGTAGTAATGCCAAGATATGCATAACTCGTAGATCGTCCGTACTGTTCCCCTCACCTTGTCTCACCGATGATACATCAACTACATAGGTATCTAGATTATGAATGAATGAAGTCTATTCGCCCGGCTAAGCCTAAAGGGCCCTAGTCTATATTACATAATACAATTCCTTTAACGTACTCCACAAGCGAGCGGCGCACACAAGTAAGTGGCGCACGCATCACGAATTCTAACGCGTATAGTATCCTTTAAATCAATATGTCTCAACCAATTGACCTGCAATTAATCCACAAAGAGGGTCGAATGACTCTTGCACTCCAAGCCTATAAAAACGGCCATTTTACGAGTGTTAGAGGTGCTGCGGTCGCGTACGATCTTCCTGAGTCCACTCTGCGGGCGCGCGTTAAAGGACGGACCGCGCGACGCGATTTACGGTCCGCAAACCTCAAACTTACAGCTACTGAGGAGTTAACACTTATCCAATGGATATTATCTATGGAGGAACGAGGCCTACCACTTAGAGCTAATTCCTTTCGACAAATGGCAAATCTACTTCTTCAAAAACGGACTGACGCAGACCAGGATCAGACTCCTACAGTTGGCCAGAACTGGGTTTATAATTTCGTACGACAACACAACTCCCTCCAATCAAAATACACCCGTAAATACGACTATCAGCGGGCAAAATGCGAAGATCCTATGATTATTCGGGACTGGTTTCGGCTTGTATGGAATACAATTGCTAAATATGGGATTCAAGAGGAGGACATCTACAACTTTGACGAGACTGGGTTTCAAATGGGAGTAGTCACGACCGCGAAGGTAATTACAGGTTCTGAGCGGGCTGGCAAGCCAGTTTGCGTACAGCCAGGGAACCGCGAATGGGTTACTGTTATTGAATCAATATCTTCAGACGGATGGAGCTTGCCAGCAATGGTTATTTTTGAGGGCAAGGTTCATATATCGACTTGGTACACAGACACTTTGCCTTTAGACTGGACAATTGCAGTTAGTGAAAACGGGTGGACGGATGATTCTTTAGGCCTTGCTTGGCTTACGGACGTCTTTCAGAAGCATACAAAGGACCGTACGAAGGGGGTTTATCGGCTTCTTATTCTCGACGGACACGGGAGCCATTCGACTCCAGAGTTTGACCTATTCTGTTCCGAGCACTCAATTATTACGCTTTGCATGCCGCCGCATTCATCACATCTCTTACAGCCATTAGACGTTAGCTGTTTTGCGGTTCTAAAACGGTCATACGGACAACAAATTGAAAGATATATGCGGGTTGGACTAAACCATATTGACAAACCGGATTTCCTTACAGCCTACCTTTCGGCCCGCAAAGAGTCTATGGCCCTTAATGTGGTCCGTAGTGGGTTTGCAGCTACAGGTCTAGTCCCGTACGACCCAGAACGAGTGCTGTCAAAGCTTAATACTCAGTTACGGACGCCAACTCCACCTCTGCTTCTTCCTGCCCTACAAGACTGTTGGGTACCCGAAACGCCTCATAATGCTAGTCAATTAGAGCTTCAGGCTACAGCAATTAAGGGGCGCATTCAACGTCGTACAGCAGGTTTATCAAGTCCTACAGATCAGGTGTTCCAGCAGCTAGTTAAAGGCTGTCAAATGGCTATGCATAATGCGGCTCTTCTAACGGAGGAAAACAAGCAATTGCGGACCGAAAATGAAAGACAAAAGAAGAAGAGAGCAGTAAGGAGGTCGTATGTAGCTAAAGGAGGTGTTTTGACAGTCCAGGAGGGCCTAGATCGACTACAAACAGCAGATATAGATATTGTAGGTAGGGTTGCAGGTCAACCTACAGAGCCACAAACTCATGCACCACGGACGTGTAGTATGTGTAAATCACTTGCGCATACTGCCCGTACGTGTCCATTAAGGGAGGTTTCTAATTAGGGTAGTTCTATAGGGTTTAATAAATTGTATTGTTGTGAAATTAACCTCTAGAGTTATAGAATTCGTGATGCGTGCGCCACTCACTTGTGTGCGCCGCTCGCTTGTGGAGTACGTTAACGTATTCCACCAGTAAGCCGGTAACACGCGTAAGCCGGTAATCGCGTCGAAAATCAACCCACAAACCATCCGTAAATTACAAAATGAATTGAATTGAATTGAATTGAATTGATTACTTTGGAATTGAATTAATTACAATTAAGCTTCTGAGGGCATACTCGAGCATTATGCTCAACTGATGAACATATACTGCACCTAGGGGGTGCACGTATTCGTGGCTCTTGCAGAATGCTCGTTAGCTCCTCAACATGCTGAATATCAACCATTTGGGAGCGATTCAACCCTTCTTGAACTGTAAGAACTCCTCCTGTAGCTATATATGACCTCCGCTTTACTCTCTTCTTCTTCTGCCTCTCGTTTTCGGCCCGTAATTGGCGGTTCTCCTCCGTAAGAAGCACAGCACTATGCATAGCCATTTGACAACCCTTGACTAGTTGATTAAGTGCAACCTCTGTAGGACTTGGTGGACTATGCGTACGACGTTGAATGTACTCCTTAATCGTTTGTGTTTGACGCTCAAGCTCTCGAATATTATGCTGAGTCTCAGGGTTCCAAGGAGAGCTTTGCGGATGGTTTATAGGTGGAGTTGGTGTCCGTAAAGTAATATGAAGCTTTTCAAGTACGTAACTTGGATTGTACGGAACAAGCCCAGCAGCCATGAAGCTATTTCGAATATTGTTTGTATTTAGAGCCTCTAGTCGAGTACTTAAATAAGCTCTAAGGAAGTCGGGCTTGTCGATATGGTTAAGACCATTACGCATAAGGTTTTCAATCTGCCGTCCGTAAATCCGTTTTACAGCCGCAAAGCAACCAACATCTAAAGGCTGTAATAGGTGTGACGAATGCGGCGGCATACAAAGCGTAATAATTGAGTGTTCCTTGCAGAATAAGTCGAATTCAGGAGTACTGTGGCTTCCATGACCATCTAGAATTAGGAGTCTGTATACTCCTTTCGTACGATCTCTTGTATGCTTCTCAAATACCTCCGTAAGCCATGTAAAGCCAAGGGTATCGTTCATCCAACCGTTTTCACTAACACCAATCATCCAATTCAGTGGAAGAGACTTAGTGTACCAAGTGGATTGATGAAGCTTCCCTTCGAATATCACCATTGGAGGCGTGCTCCAACCATCTGTGCAAATGCCCTCAATAACTGTTACCCACTCCCGATTCCCTGGCTGGAGAGTAACTGGCTTTCCAGCTCTTTCAGACCCGCAAACCACTCTTGCGGTTGTGATCACTCCCATCTGGAATCCCGTTTCATCGAAGTTATATATATCATCATCCGTAATCCCATATTTCGCCCGTATATTCTCCACAAGTTGAAACCAGGCTCGAATGATAGTAGGATCTTCACATTTCGCTCGCTGATAGTCATATTTACGATTAAATCGTGATTGTAAGGTTTCGTGACGTCGTACGAACTTATAGACCCAATTCTGGCCAACTGTAAGATCTTGATGGTCCGTAGCCGTTAAAGTCGAGCTCCGTTTGTCGCGTCTTTCAAGGAGTAAATTGGCCATTTGTCATACGGTATTAACTCGAGGTGCTAGACCACGCTCATCCATTGATAGGATCCAATTTATAAGGCTAGATTCCTCAGTCTCTGTGAGTTTGCGGTGTACGGATCGTAACTCAGTCTTCAGAGCGCGACCGTGAAGACGATCGCTAGCAGTTGAATAAGGTACTCCGTACACCTTCGTAGCGGCTCTAAGGCTCTTAAATTGGCCTTTACGGAAGGCTTGAATAGCTAGGAGTATTCTCCCTTCTTTTGAAGCTAACTGAGAGCTCTGATGTTGAGACATATTGTATAGTTTACAGGTTTACGGATGGTTTGTGGGTTGATTTTCGATGCGATTACCGGCTTACGGGTGTTACCGGCTTACTGGTGGAATACGTTAGTGTTTCCATTGTCTCCTGAAGCCCGTACAAAACTGCCTCCTTCAATGTCTTCCAAAGCCACTGTCTGCCTTATTCAACGAGGTCTCGTGTGTAGTTAGTAGCAAGTGAACTTGAAGTTCATTCCTCCAAGTGTTCAGTGTCCTATTCTCGGCGACTGAAGCGAGACCTGCTAGGGACACGGGGGATTTTGGGGGTTAGTCGGGGTAAGGGAAAAGAGATGACATTTACTGTTGTGGGGTGTTAGTTACTTGTTCTATCTCCATGTCGAGTTGTCCTGTGGCTATGGCAAATTTAATCGTTGCTCTAACCGCGTCCATGTTCAGTGACCATGTCTCTGGGTCAGATGGTGCCTTCCCTCCTAAGTAGAATGAGAGGTTGCCTTTCCTGGTGTCTGTCTGTTCGAGTATCTGTGTTCGGTATGCTTCCCATCTCGTGCATCGGAAAAGAAAGTGCTTGACAGTTTCCCCTGCTTGGCCACAAACGCATTGGTCCGATTCTGCTGCTCCAATCTGGTGGAGGTATCCGTTGAGTTGTGACATTCCGGTTCAGAGTTGTGCCAATATGCTCGCTTCTTTCCGTTTGAGCGTGTCGTATAAGGTACAAGTGTGTTTGCCTGGCAGCGCTGTATCCATCTCCCTCGAGTATTTGCCTATCCCTTCTGGGAGTGCCTTGTTTCCCCGCTGCTTTGCTATTTCGACGTTTATTGTTGTGGAC